GGGCCCCCCCCCCCCCCCCCCCCCACCCAATCACAGGTACAACCGTGCACAGCACACACCTGCACTAATAGCCCACAAGCTGATCATCAGCATTACTGGCTCCCAAGCAGTACAAATACCACGAAGAAAAAAATTGTGGAAGAGCATCAGTGATTACAGTTAGGAAGATGCACAGATTCTAGCTGAACTGGGAGCGCTCAGCTCTGCAAACCAATCCACGGACCGATGGGGAGGAAACATGCGTGGGATCAAAACGGTATTAACTTTACCCCTGGAACAAAAGCAAAGCTTGCCCTGTGCTGCGGAGCGTAGGAACTGAGCGACACTCACAGAGACCGCGCCACCTGCTTGAGATTGTCAGCACTCAGAGGGTTCAGAATGGAACAGGTCTGAAAAAGTTCGAGAGATTCTTGAATCTTCCCTTCTAAGCGAAATAGCAAAGCTGCAAGGCAAACCACACAGGCAAATTAGTCCACCCCCCTGGTGAAGACAAGCTGCATCTCTGGCAGGCCTGGACCGCACAGGAGGACAGATAGACCATTCAGTTGTTCCCTCTTGTGACAGCAAGGTAACCAGAAACTCAGATCTGAGTGGGCTGAGGGGCAACGCAGACTGAACTAAGTGCACACAGAACTGTTTGCTCAGAGGCTTAAAGCCATGTTAGAGGGAAGGGAGCCCTACATCTTCATTACCAGAACATCTGAAACTCCCTTCCCCCCTGAAATGCTCCCATGTGCTGCAATGTGAATTCTGCAGCTCACCCCCCAGCCTGCCAGCCTGACACAAGGAGCCTCAGCTTTCAGGGCCATTTTCCTTTACAAACAAATCTTTCTTTTCATCTCTTCTGCAGCACAGACTGTGGGACTCTAAAGAACGGGGGGGAGGGGCTGAGAGTGCTTTTCATTTTCATTAACACTGCCAGGCAATGAATTAGCATTGGTTATGTTCGGAGTCTGACTGTGTAAGCAAACACAGCAGCCCCTGCATACTGATCAATGCCATACAACTGCATCCTTAAAGGAAACCATAGCCAGTTAGAGAACATGGCTCTAGCAAGCAACATATTTTGCATGACACACTCAAATGCACAGGGCCACATATAACCAGAGCCAGGCATCAGCCGTTCCAAAAAGATCTGAAGATAACAGTTCACTATGAAACACTCATGTACTCACAAGAAGAACCAATCCTCATCTGTTCATTACAGTGATAACCCCACCTTTCAAAATCACACCAGGCAAGTTTCAGACGTAACTGCATATCTATGCACTCAAACAGCATCAGAAGTCTTTTTAAGAGTTCACAGCTGGTATTTATATTTGTTGGGGATTTCTTTAGAACTGGGAATTGCACTGAAAACCAGAAGTAACTGAAGAGGACAGATTATTTTCATAGTCTTCATCTGACATACCTTGAACATAGACTGCATATTCACACATTCCCTGGGTCTCCTGGAGTTGTTCTTTGATAGCAATCTGAAACAATGAAATTAATATGATATCAAACAGAGTACCTGTAGGACAGCTGAACAGGATTACCTTATATTAACTGAACAAATAATAATAGTTTACAAAAAAGTATAAAACCCTTCAGATATTAGTATGTCAGTAAAGATAAACTGTACATTTAAGATGCTGTTTATTTCAGCCTGGCTAAATATCCAGTCCTAATTTAGTTGGAAAGCATGTTTTCTAGGTAGTGCGATTGACTGAACTGCACTCCACCAGTCTCAGAACACGAAGGCACAATATCATCAATCTTTAATTGACTCTGAATTTAACAACCCACATTTGAAAACAGACACCATACAGTGCCTTATTGCACTGCACTTGCAGATTTCCTTCCACTCACAGATCTGGCAAAGGTGACACTAGCATGTGATATGTTATGACAACAAAGTCCACACAATCAGAAGTTCTGCTCTGAGCTGCTCTGTAAAATGACTTCCGAAATAAATTATTTCCCCCGAGGACATTAGTGGCTAGCTTGATAACTGTTTAACCAATAAACAATTGCTTATCAATTAATGGTCCTGGTTAACCACAACAACCACACCCACCATCCCCATCCCCCTCCTCCTCTTCCTCCCCCGCCATGTTCTCTGCATTTAAAACTCAGACTGGCAGGCTGGCTCAGTCCCAGCCCGCTGATCCAAGTTTTAAATGAAGAGTATGGAGGGGAGCCATCTGCCACCCAGTGCTGCTGCCTCTAATACAGAGGCAGCAGCGAGGAGTGGCAGGCAGGAGCTAGTCCAGCCTGAGCTCCCCACAGAAAGAAGCTGCTCCGACATCCCACACGCTCTCATCGGCTTCCCTTACTCCTTACAGGAGGAGGAATACAGGACACTGATGGGGGCTGCTCTCAGCATTCAATGTAGAGGTCTACATAGACCCACTAAATCGAATGCTAGAAAAGCGACCTCTGGAATGCTGATTTTCTTGTAAGTGTAGACATGCCCAGAGTGAGCTCCCTGTCATCCAAGAAATTCTCCAACAAAGATAAGGGAAGCCAAGACAACCCTGACATTTCTGAAGTAGGAGTAGCAAAAAAAAAATAATAATAATAATAATAATTCAAATGCCAATTCCCCTCTTCATATCCTTTTGCAGTTCCCCTTTAATGACTTGTGTTCATCTTGTCAAGAGAACATACTGTTTAAAGGACTCTGTCTGCTCTGCGTTACAGTCCTGCACCACTAAACAGTTCCAACCTACTCCCCAAATGGAAGAGATATCAAAAGGGTGCAACATGTCATGTGTAAAATAAATAACCTCCAATCAAGCAAAGCTAAGACCTTCTCTCTCACTCTGATGGGAGATGTTTGCTTAGCTGTTGCCTCTATGAAATGATCAGCACTATGGAATAGGGTTAATAATAATCTGGGAAACCCCATTTTTCATTAGAAAAAAATAGAAACCTGTACTCATGTTGATATTTGAGTTTTAAAAGGCTATAAGGAAAACCAACTGGGGAAAAAACACACACTTCAGAGTAACTTTTAGGATTGCTTTACTTATATTTTCTCTAAAATTCCCAAAACAAATGTTGTTGGGACACGTAATGCTCTCCACCTGACTAATTTGGAAAGTATCATTTTCCTCCTTAGTTTATAACTAGAAACCTTAATCAAATGTGTTTACCAAGCTCAGATTTCCTATAGCAAATGCAAATCTGGCTTAGGAACAGCTCTTACCTTACACGCATCATAATCTTTGCGGATATAATGCAGGTGTATCAGCCAGTTCCTTCTCTCCAAGATTGGCAGCTCAGGCACTGTGTGGAAAATATTGGCAGAACACACACAACATTCAGAAATGATCCAGCAGAGAACAGGCATATATGGTAACCAGATGCTCCAATATTATTTGGACCATCCTGGTTTTGGAGCTTGTGTCTTATATAACTATTCTACCCCCACACTCTGAAAAGTGTCCCAGCGTTTCACATGCTCTCTGGTCACCCTATAAACATCGAGTCAGCCAACTTCTCCTTGGTAATGAAAGTCTCTACATGCAGGACAGTCTAAATTAGCACTGCACCAGGAGCGTAACTAGTTTCTTGACTTCAAGCCTGGAGTCTGCACGTCAGTGTGAGAAACCAGGAGTTCCAATGGACGGACAGAACACACGGTTCAGTGACTAGCCTAAACAAGCCTCTTTCACTGAAAATCCACTCAGCAGCACATCAGAGCAGCTTGCTGCCTTTGTACCCGTTGCGGCAAACCTCAGAGTAGTTAGTCTGTAACTCAGCTGTGTTAGTCTGTAACTGCAAAAACAACTAGGAGTCCTTTGTCCCCTTAAAAACTAACAGATTTATTTGGAGCTTCAGGGGGTAGCCGAGTTTGTTGTTTTTTTCTGTAACACTAATGGTCTGGTAGCACTTTATAGACTAACAAAACATAGAGATGGTATCATGAGCTTTCGTGGGCACAGCCCACTTCTTCAGATGACCGGATTTATTTGGGCATCAGCTTTCATGGGGGGGTCGCGGGGGGGAATCACTTTGTCAGATGACACACTGGTTTTGTATACATTGTAGTTTATGGCCAGCAATGGCTTGTTGGGTTTGGGGCTTCCATAGATACAAAGGCAGTTTGGGGAATAGACATATGAGAGACGCTGTGAATAATTTAAACTAACTCAGCTACCTCCTGAAGCTCCAAATAAATCTGTTAGTCTTTAAGGTGTCAAATTTAGTTCTGTGAAACAGTGCACGGTTACAAAATGTCACATCTTTGTGGCATATGGTGAAGGCACTGGTGAAAAATCTCTGATGTAGTGAAAAAGAAATATGCTCTAGTACATCCATGGTAAGGTGCCTGCAGCAGCCAAGACAAGTCACAAACAGGTACTGCTTAGTTGTCTAGGCTCACGTTGGGTTTAACCCACTCCCAGGCATGTCTTTCAGACTTGAAATATATTCTTTGTTACTCATGTCTGCAGTTCAGATGCTGGTAGCCCAGAGGTAACCATAGCAACTGACAAAAAAGCTAAATGTTTGCAAGTCAATAGAATGAGAGAATAGAAGCAAAACCAGGCAAAGACTCTTGCTGCTGCAGCAGCCAGGAGGAGAGAACACTCGGGCACCTTTCTCTCTGCCCCCCCATGGAATGCAGACCCCACTATACAATCAAACGGAGGCGGACCCCTGGCTTTCACAATGACAGCACAGACAAATAAGAAACTGTCACCAGCTTCCAGCATGGGTCAGGATAAGAGAGGAGAAAGAAGAAATGCAGTAGAGAGAGTCCTGGCAGGAGATCCAGATTTTATCATCTTCTCAAAACTTTTAACTTGAATAATGTAATTAGCAAATTTACTTTTAACTTTAAGAATTACAGCAACCAGTAAGCATGCATTCTGCACTGCCCCAGTTGCAGTCTTCCACAGCTTACCTTTACAAAGCGAAGCAGAGTACTCAAAAATGCAAGTTAAACACAACACAACCTCTCACCCCATCTTAGCTGACAAGTTCCTCTGTGTTACAAACACCACTTTGAAGAACTTATATAGAGGCAATATCCTATTGCCTCTATATAAATCCATGGTACACCCACTTCTTGACTAGTGCGGGCAGATGTGGTCGCCTCATCTCAGAAAAGCTATCTTGGCATTGAAAAATGTTCAAAAAAGGGCAATAAAAATAATGAGGTTTTCCATTTTTCCAAACAAATAAGAGAGCTAATTTTCTCTCAAAGATATTGTGATAAAAAGCCCAGTAGTACAGTAGATAAACTAAAAAGTAAGCATCTTGCTTAGATTCATTTTCACAGCTAACACACACACACACACACACACACACACACCCCCTTTCCCAGTGCAAGAGGTCACTGTTCATTTTCTGAAGAGAGATAATTTACAGATACAAGTGAAGAGGCTATAAATCCCTAGCTATGTAAGTGTCCCTAACAACAAAGCAAAGGCATATGGCAATAGTTTTTTTTTTCCCCCCCCAACACTCTTCCCCAGGGATTACTGGTTCAATAGACAGACATTCTTCTACACTGATGATTACTCCCAGTACATCTAAACTAGAGTGAGCTGGGCTGGCAACAGCACTGTCATCTACACACAGAGAGACTTTGTAATAGCCTAACTAGCAGGGTTTGACCAGACAAACCCTCTGGGGTTGCAGCAAGAGGTCAAAGAGCAGAGATAAAAGAGGACCCCATGTCTCAACCCTCTAACGAGTTTGAAAAAACCTAATCAGGGACCATTTATTATAGCAGCCCACAGGAGACCTCTACATGGCATACTATGTATTTGGAATCCCATCCTAATTAGAGCCCAAAACACATGCTCTCACTTGACCTGATCTCATGGTCTTCTCAGCAGTGAGAAAAAACTACTGAATGTGGCTGGGCCTTTGCCAGGTTAGTGGAGCATATTTATCAACCTGCTCACACTGGTTCATTCCAGCTGGACATAAAACGGACTGCTCTCTCTGAAGCAACTTGGTCAAGACCCAGGTCAGAGCTTGCCAGAATTTCTACCTCTGTGTTAAGGAGAGAGACTGCTCCATGCCTTTCACCCTCATCTTCTGTCTCTCTCTCTTATGGGATCATTCAGCGAATCAGGCAGCAAGTCTGGAGTCAATGTATGCTCAAATAGGGCAGTCTACAGTCTCTGCGGGGGCTTGATGGAATCCAAAGGGGAATCTGTCCAGATTTACTGCTTTCCTCGTGGTCAGTGATTGATTGCACAGCCCACTTCCACCTATGTGATTTTTCTTTCTGACAGTGCCCCTTTAAGGAACTAACTGCCATGGAAGACGCAGACTGAACAATAAGATCTCCAGGACTGCGTGTCTTTGCAGCACTGTCACCTCTCTTCATTTTGCTTGCCTTATAGGGTTTCTCCAAGGACTGAAAACAGAATTCATACTTTTGTGAAAACCTCCATCTGAAATTAAATTTGTGATTCTTCATACTGTGTAACTGTAGCACATTTATATGCAAGGCATTAAAAAAAACTCTTCACTGTTAAAGGCTTATGAAGCCACTGGAGAGTTCTAGAGAGAGATCTTGAAAGACTTCAAGACAAGGAATGAGATACCAAGAGAAATGATTCCCAGATCAGCCATCATTCCCTAGGAGAGGATGCCAGATGGAGAAAGAACGGCTTTATACTGTGAAGAGGGGTAGAGTACACAGGCTTTCACTTACCCCCACATTTTTCCCTACCATGCTCCATTTCACTCTCCCCTCCAACTACCCACCCAGAGAAACAAAAAAGCAAATTGAAAGAGCCAGACGAATACCTAGAAACCATCTACTTCAAGACAGACCCAAGAAAACCAACAATAGAACACCACTTGTCATCACCTACAACCCCCAACTTAAACCTGTCCAACACATTATCAATAAACTACAGCCTATATTGGAACAGGATACCATACTCAAAGAGGCTCTGGGAGACAGACCCATAGTCTCCTATAGACAACCACCTAACCTCAAGATGATTCTTACCAACCACCACAGGACATACCACACTAATACCAACCCTGGTACCTTCCCTTGCAACAAACCCCGTTGCCAGCTTTGTCCACATATTCATTCTGCTGATACCATTATTGGACCTAACCAAGTGAGTTATAAGATCAAGAACACATATTCCTGCGCATCCAGAAATATAATCTATGCTATCATGTGCCGAAAGTGTCCGTCTGCTATGTACATTGGACAAACATCTCAGACACTTCGCCAAAGGATTAATGCCCACAAAACAGATATCAGACAAGATCACAAAGAGAAAACAGTTTCTTGCCACTTTAACCAGAAAGGACACTCTCTAAATGACTTAGCCACCTGCATTCTGCTACAAAGACCTTTTACATCTGCACTTGAAAGGGAATCCTCTGAACTGTCATTCATGTTAAAATTCGACACTTACCACCAGGGACTTAACAAGTCTTTGAACTTTCTCACCCATTATCAAGACAGTTTCCCCAATTATCACCTGTAATACCATTAACTCACAAACATCCCACTCTCCCTACCTTTAATATCAGCAATTCACAGACACTTACCTTCCTTCCTCCCCCTTCCCACCCCCCCGCCTCCTCCTTCTGTTCTGCAATGTGATTTGTCCTTTTCATATTTGTTCATTTTTTTTAATTGTATCCTTTGGTATATATGGTTGTGACTACTTTCTTCCACTATTTGATCTGAGGAAGTGGGTCTGGCCCACGAAAGCTCATCATCTAATAAACCATCTTGTTAGTCTTTAAAGTGCTATATTGTCCTGCATTTTGCTTCAACTACCCCAGACTAACACGGCTACATTTCTATCACCCTCCAAATAAGTTTTGAAAGCCAAGCCTTAGTGGAGTGAGATCAAACTGGGAGGAAGGCCATGAACTAACACAAGAGGCAAGTAATCAGGAGTCAAAAGGAGATAGGGTAAAGAGGAAGACATTAAAAGATGGGGACCAAAACCCAAATTCTCACAATGCAGACTCTGGGGAGAGCTCTGGAGACAGTACAAACAGACAAGAACTTCATTTCAGAATCAGGATTGCTTATCAAATGTATTGTTTGTATGGAGAAGCACCCAGAGGTCCCAAGCAGAGCTCCACTGTGCTGGGCATGGTTCTCACGTTATAAAAAGATCATCCTTGCCCTACAGCTTACAGTCTAGTCACATGAAGAGATGCAGCAAGTGAAGATAAATGAGGAGGAGGAGAGAACAGAGAAGCTATCCTATGTATTTATAATAAGCAGCAGTCTTAATATGTTCACTTCCCAGGCATAATCAACCGGGGATTTCTCTCAG